GTTTTTTGGTTTTGAAACTATGCATCCTGCATAAATCATTTGTAACGACTCGCATCAATTTTTGAAAAAAACGGAATTGTCGGACTTTGACAGAGTTGATTTTGATGAAAAGCCTATCAACAGCATCCTCACTACTTTCTCTTTGATGTCCTTAGGCCGAAGAACTGATCAAAAAGGAAATGCTAACAATGCTGCACTATGATAGTCTGCACAATCCGCCGCCCACTCTCCTTGCCGAGCTTTCTCGCAACGCTGACGGAAAGCTGCTTAGCGCAATGGCACAAAAGAAACGCTTGCAGCAAGTCAACACTGCTCACGAGACTTATCTTCGCGACTCACCTTATGAGGAATTCTCTGACGATTCTCTGGCCCAGGTAGGTCGATTTTCTTTAACTAATCTTACAAGCGTCACCGAAACACTAGCATTGCCACATCATTCACAATTTAAATTCATTGTCTTAAAGTAGTTGGAAAGTCTGGAGAGCTCTTGTAACTGCAGATCGTACGTTAAGTCACATTTATGTTCCCAATATGCACTCTCGCACAGAAGCGGATTTCTCTACAGTGAATAAATACCAATTAGAGATGGATTTTATGCGACATTTCTCCTCCTTCCTCTTCGAGATATTATGCATTGCGTTGTAGTTGCAGCATTCGTTCTAATCTTATTCTTCTTGAACATCCTTATTAAGTGTGGTACGACAAAACCTTTTTCTCGGTTATGCCTATATAAATCACGGAGAATAAACGGGTTGAGTGAAAAACTGGATTTGCGCAGGAATGAGCTCTTGAATGAATCGCGAGATGCGTGGATAAATAGATTAGCATTAACTTTTTGTTGGGTGTGTATTGAAGTGGTTGGCCTAATAGAAGGCCTGATGAGATGATCTGGAGTTGGAGATTGAATCAGCGCTGGATTGGCAGAGCCACCATTTGTGCCTGTCGAATTTGATGATGGTACGTTTGTAAGGCGCATAATTTATGTTCCATTTTGGGGCCATGAGAGGAAAAGCTTCCATTACTCTCTTCTGTTAATGAATGGTCTCCCTAGAGAGCTCTTGGATACTTGGGTTGACAGAAGATTATTGACTGAATGGGGATATAGATGTATGCATTATTTACTAATTAGAGTAAGTTGGTGGTCACAATAGCTGTATGAACCAATTAGTGGGTCAATGATTGGTGGATTTACGATTCAGCGCTGCATTAAGGTTTCCTGCATGAACAGCTGCAACATATTGGTATTGTCTCCCATTAATAAATGATTTCTGTATTCGTCCTTTTTGCTTATGTTCAGGAGCGAGAGGTCTCGGTCACATTGGTAAATGGAGAAATGATAGAATCTAAAGTAAAGGAAGGTGTTTATAGTTCAGGCGCTTTTGAAAACTTCATTAATCATGCTACTCCTTTTTATGCGGAAAACGAATTCTACTCTAGCAATGTCCTCAGCAAAATATTGTTCAAAAGTCGATTTGATAGAGGATGAAGTGATTTTGAGGGCCGGAATGGGAAGCTTTTATCTTTACCTATTCCATTTCCGCAGGCTGCGGCGGCAATCGAGGCGGAGACAGCAGTAGTGCGCAGCGCAATGGGTCATGGGGAGGTGTCGGGTGAGGCGTATGCTCGAGTGTGGGAGGAGTGTTTGGCTCAGGTGCTTCACCTGCCCCAGCATCACCGCTTCACGCGAGCTAATCTCGTGCCTAAGGCCGAGCGTGTTAGCGCTGCTGAACGTCGCCTTGAGATGCTGCGTGGTCTTATGGCTGAGGAAGCCAAGAAAGCTGCTAGGCAGGAGAAGAGATTGTCCATTCTTCTCGGAGGATATCAGGTAATTGAGTTTTTTTTCTCCTTTAGATAATTGACGTATTAACTAGTTGGCAGGCATCAAGTGTAAGTCTGGCCTCCATCTTAATTTACTTTTTTTCTTTAGTCACGTGCCCAAACTCTCATCAAAGCTATTCAAGAGTCTGTGGAACAGATTGAACAAAGCCAGATTGAGCTAACTTCCTTGGAGCATCTACGTCAACAGGAAATTGGCGCCGTAGTGAGACGCACTGAGGTGTGCCTATGCTATTACTTATCTTTGCGACCTCCATTTCCTTCATTCAATCGAGTCGCCTCCATTTTTTCTAGATGCTCAAAATCGATGTTGAACGTCAGAGAAGCCGTGAAACGCAGCTGCAAAACACGTACGCTAAAATGGCGCGTCTAAGGGACGATCGAATGGCTGAGGCGGAGAAAATTTATGACAATACTACTACTCCGCCTCTGGCGTCACCACGTGCCGGTGTCGAGGGGCTTGAGGATGAGACACAAAAGTACCACTTCTCTCCCACAATGAGGCGTCTTGGTTACCGTTGACTTCCTTTTCACTTGTCTTTTAGTGATCCTGGTGGGTGGACAACAGTTCAACAATCGGACGGGGAATTAGTTGAGGAGAGGAACGCAGGGGCTCAGACGGATCCTGTGCCACTACCAGAGGCCATACAGATTGGCAGAAGGAGTGAATTCTCCGTGGACTTGGATGCGGAAACTTAGATGAAGACGCCATGTTTTAGTGCTTTTATTATCCGTCATTTATTCGCCCCTTTTGTAACAAAAATATAGCGTCAGGATCCGGTCTGTATGCTTTCTCCTTGATTTTTGTTCTCCCAACTGTCCGTGAATGTTTGCACTGTCCTAACAACTCGCCGCGGTTCGGACTCACCCCTGACCTTGGGTCTTTCGGGTCAGGAGTTAACTCCTCAGACTGTCAAAAGGGTGCTGCCTATTCGTCTTGCACATCTTTCCCGTTTTTCTGTTCGTGTTGTGTTGATTTTACGGTGAAATAAATCCATTTATGAGAACTGTAGTGACTTGACTGTATAAGGCACTTTCAATGATGTCTGCTGCTAAACTTGCTCTGAAGTTCGGTTCTGTTACCCATCTCAAAATCCCTGAAGACCATCTTGATGCCTCTACTTCCATACCAACGCACTATGACTGCCTATAGGAAATGAGGCAGATCAAAATGCAATGATCACTTCACAGTGAAGATTGAGTGACAAACTGACAACGAATGCGATCTGTATTCAAATGAGTTTGTAATAGTGTCAAATCGAATCTAGGTTGAGAATGTCAGAAATGGTAAACTTGGTCACTAATGGATGCCTTGCTATGCAGGAACGGCTCTCCTGACTGTGCTTCTTGAAAGCTGCCTAAACAAGACGAAATAGTCAATAATTATGACGGCTAAAGGCCACTCCTACCCTTAGTGATGACCCGCAGCCCGTCATTAGTCCTGGCGTCATTTCATTGAGGAAGAATTGTGCCTCAATAAGCATCAAACCGTAGGTGAAAGCAGCCTTCCTTAAGGCTTTTGCCTCTCTATGACCTGTGACACCGGTCATCTTATCCGTCCACGGAGTCATGCTGTGAAACGGACAGCATTTACGATGTTTGAGAGGACATTGGCAGATGAGTCGAAGAAGATGCCGGATGAGGTACAACGCCGCAGCACATTTCAAACTTGCAGTGCACTTTGCCAAAGACAACTCCGTCAGTCCCTGATCGAATATGTAACGACAGAGAAGGATAATCTAGAGCGGAGAAAGTGACACTTGTAAAGTTACTTGGACTTTGCAAGAATGAAGGAGGGCACCTGGCATACCACATTCTCATTCACGCCTTTGGGTAAGTCTTCAAATCCAATTAGACTGAACGCGATGAAGGTGTGTGGAATGGGATAGACAAGGGCGTAGTCGAAGGCTCGCAGCATTTTTTCTTCCTTTCTTTGTACCTGATGTAGACGTAAATTCCTTTGGTAAATAAGGCTGAAATCATGGGTGAAATTAACTGATTCTCGTAAATGCAGCTCAGATTTGATGACCTCTTCAACTGTATTTTTACCCTACTGAACGATGTGGCTACACAATCCAGGCCTTCCACCCCCCGTCTCGAGCTCTGTATGCTGTTACTAACCTTTATGGTAGCAATCAAGGGAGGTTGTGGAGGACATGAAAACAAACCTCTGCTGCAGAATATGTATCTTCGGTGAGATGACACAAATCGTCGAAAGACAGAGGCATTTTTCGAGTTGTAAGTTTCACGCCCAAGACGACAGCTGAGATGCCCACTAACTGGTACTTTTCAGGACTCGTCAACCTGCACCAGGTGAAACGATCTACCATTGTGGTGGCGAGATGCAAGGCCTCTGAGGGAAGCTTATAGTATTGTTGCACCTCGCAGAAAAAAAATAAAAAGGGAACCAATCTGTGAGTCAGGGATTGGGATACGCCAGACTCACCTTCTCTTGCATTACCCTTATCAGCCAATCAAAGAGCTTAGCCCTCATAGTTGGATTGAGTTCACTCATACTGAGACAGTTGGAATTGTATTCTCGGATAAGACTGTCATCGCGCATCAATTCGTAGTGTAAGATCTGGAGAAAATGTACTACGGCTTGGCTAAGATAGCTCGACTTACACGTCTGAAATAGAGAATTTCTCTATTCCACTCAGCGTCAGTGTACTCATTCAGAGGACACATTTGAATGTCATTAACTTTGTCACGGCTCTTCCTGCTCCACCGGCCTCTAAAGGTGTGCATAAACTCATAGGTGGAGGGAAGGATTCGGAGATTCTTTCGCGCAACCTCTCCCATCGTTTGGAGACCTCGCTTTGCTCGTGCTATCAACTGCGCATTCGCCATGGCTAAAGGGAAGGAAGGTGGTTGAGAAATTGTTTATGTCCCCTACTTTTTATTAGCTCGCAGTGTAGCTATTTTTATCGTAGCATCCACCTGATGATGTGATTTTACTCTTGTTAGCACCACTTTCCACCCATTTCCATAGTCTCGCCTCCTTTGGATTGAGGGATCTAGTTTGAAATGGAGGTAATTCTGGATTTCAAGGGCTTGACGTCCAGGCATGTGATAAATCACGGAGTTCACCCAACCCTCTCAATCTCTTTTATTTTGTTCTCTGTAAGAGGATAAGTTAGAACAGGAGTGGAACCAACTTTTTACGCCTTAAAAACCAGAAGCAGCACCATCTTCTTTGTGCAGATTTTTTTAACCGAATGTTAAAATGCAACAAAAAGCAACGGGAACGCGCGCGCCTTCACGTCTCCCAAATGCTGTTCAGTACAAATGTGGTCAGTTTCTGTACTGTGGTTGGAAAGGTGAAAAAATTTCAGAATTCATCAGAAACCCACTGAATTCCTTATCGACGGTGGAATCGAAGCCTCGCGCTCATAGTGGTCCCGGTAGACTGCCGACTCAAGGATGTGATAGGTGAAGGAAAATGCTTACTCAGCCACTCAGCATTAACCTTGAAAGGTGTACGTGCGCCTGTTAGTGGAAAGGAACGTCTCAGTTGCAGTTAAGCCTCCCCCCAAGCTGTTAGTTTTCAAATTGCACATTTTCAAGTCAGCCATAGCTCGTTCAAGAGGGACAAAAATGTAGCACTTAGACAATAGGTGGTGGCCCCTTCCCGTTGCTTACCTATGTATGGATTTGGTGGCCGTTTTGATGCTCCAAGCGCCCCCACGCCTCGAGAGCATTCTCGCTCTAAAGGGAGAAATGGTGAAACCAAACGTCATAACAACGTTTTGAGAGAGACACTTTACGTACTTGCTTCCTCTTGTATCGATTTTTGTTGCACTTCCCTCACGCTTAGCCCATAAGAATTCTCTTCTAAAATTGAAACAAGAATGGAAAGTAACTTTAGTCTTATAGAGCATTGTATGGTAAGGAGAGTGGTTGTACGAACTTCGAATCACTCGTTTAGCAGAGTTGGCACCATCAATGCGTTGTGGGTAGGCTTGCCTGCAATAACTGGATGGAGTTACATTGTTCATCTTTACTTACCTTTCCATTTGACAGTTTTGGTTCGTATTGATGACTGCAGATCGGCTTTAGGATTTAGCTAAGTGTAAAAGTCACATTGCTATAAATATTTGCTACCTCACTTGTACCAGTGCAAAGTCGAATGCCTAAAAACCGCCTTGGCTCACTTTGGATAGCCAAACGCGATTTGCGTTCATGAAGGTCGGCACAGCCTGGTGGCCAGAGCTATGGAGCACTGTTCACGTAGCTTAGTTCAAGGTCATTGCCAAAGCCCAGGCAACAGAATTGGCGCGTTCCCTTGCTACTGATGGTGTATGTGCTCGAATAGCTATATCGCACAGATTAAGCTGCGGAGTCTGGCCTTAGCGTCGGGGATGTGGAGCCTTTTGGTATTTTCAGGCGTTCCGGATCACTTAAGGCACCAATTCAGTAATGCTGGTTGCCCTAGCTAAATATGATGCTTACTGATGATTGGTAGACCTTTAGGCCAA